AAGTTGGCAGGTTGGACGGCCTCCAACAGTGCGCTACACTGCATGAAATTAATATTAATCGCGGCAATGCATTTAAGCCGCATTTAGCCGATTTGCCAGCGTCAACCCGCCGCTTTTTCATTTTGCTGCCTTTGTGCGCCTTTTGTTTATTCTGTGATTTTTATTTATTGTTTTGCGGTCGCGCGGTTATTAAAATGCCGCTGGCAATTTGTAATCATTAGACCCGGTTGTGGGTGGTTACAGCGAGGCACCCTGTGCCACTTGCCATGCACCCTGTGCCAGTGGCTGGCAAAAGTCGGTGACATTTAAGCCAACTAAATATCCATGCAGTTATGCAAATCGCACAAACACAGACAAGGAGTTACTGCCATTTGCACGTCCACCGGCTTCTGCTCCTTCAGCTGGCTCTTTTAACCATCGTCTCGTCATCATCGTTTTCGTGTTCTTGTTGTTGCAGTTGTCGTGGTAAAATTTAAGTGGCCACTTGACTAAATTAATATGACACTGCTGCAAGTGCTCGGCACTTGTCTATGCCTGCCCCCACTCATCGCCTTCTGCACTCTACGGATTTTCTATCTGCCACCACACTTTATCGTCTTTTGGCCAACAATATGAATAATTATGACGTCAAACTGTCGGTTGATTTGCATGCTCAACTCTTGTCACACTCTTTGGCTTACAGTTGCCAAAGGCCAGTCAATAGGTAAAAATTGCACACTTTTCAGGCATTTATTTTTGGGCAATTGCAACAAAAGTGACAAATATAAAATATTTTAACACAGTGCATCACGGAATCCTTGATCAGAATTTATTGAATTTCTGTGTGTGTGTGTGTGTGTATTTTTGGAATTTATTTAAAAGACTGAACATGCAACAAATGAAGTAATCAATTTGATTATTTTCTGCTATTCAATTGACTTAAAATTACAAAGTGTAGTCCTAAGCCATTTCCGAAAACTATCAGGTAACTGAGTGAGTGTAAAATTCTACACTAAAATGGTTATTGACATGACAAATAATAATAAAAAAGTACTATGGAAAGGTAATAAATTTGAAAAGCATTCAATGAACACATTGATTACACTTGTCGGATCTACGAAAGATAGAAAATTGTTTTAACTCGCATGCGGCATACTTGAGAATATGTTCAAATCATAATCTCAAGAGTTTCTCGAAAGCAATCAATAAACACCTCATATAGTCAAGTTGTGTGCATATTCATATGATTGTAACTGGTAGAACAAGTTATCGCCGGTCTCATTAGGCACGTATATTTTTAATCAGTAACAACAGCTGATTCTATCCAGCCGAGACTGTCTGTCTATAGATTCTCGTATGGCACTGTATTACTGTATTCACGTTTTATATGTAGTATATGTTCCCCTATTACTGAACCATTTTTACGTTTTACTTTGAACATTTCATTGAGCTTGTATTTATGGAATGAAGCTCAAATCTGTGTACAGGGCATTTCACTGTCGGGCAGACTAGAAGAGTCACTCATTTTGTACAATTCCTTGAATTCTACTGAATTACTTTATATATATATTTGTTATATTTCTTCAAATTAATCCCATTACACAATCTATGTGAATCATGACACAAGCTACCATATTTCATTTCCCAATGGCTGCTAGTTAACGCTCACGCTGGCAGCTCTGTTGGCAGGCCCATAAGCGAGGATGTCACTACCGAGTAAAAATCCAAACTGTTTGCAGGTTGTCGTCCGTTGGTTTTTTTTTTTTTTTTGTTTTTTTTTTATTATTTTTTTCTCTTTTTTGCTGCAGCACATGTCACACTTGGCTCGCAGTTTGTGGCCAGGCCAGGGCTATGAAAATAACCATAAGGCAATTGCCCAGGCGGCTTGCAGCCTTCGTGTCAGCCTCTTCGTCCCACCTCCGCTACCCTTTTCTGTTATGTGCAGATCCCCAGGCTCCAAGCCCAGTGTTTGTGGCACTCATAAGCCTTGAATGCTAAATGTCAAAGTTACTCCTTGGCGTAACATTCGACACATTGGGGCGTTGAGGTGTGCCTACGTGTGTGCATGTGCTCGTAATGGCTGCCTGACTGGCTACCAACTGCCTCCTGCCAGCCTCCTGCCAGCCGCTCACTGATTTCTGCCTCATCATCCCGTCAGCCTGCCTGGTTGCTTTTGGATTACATTACACTAAGTTCTGTGCAAACACAGTTGGCGCAGTTCATTAACATGTTACATGGACATGGAGACCCTGAGCTATAGCAGTGCCAGGATTCGGAGTTGGAGTCGGAGTCAGAGTCGGGTTTAGTTTAGTTCAGAGCGACTTCGCTCTACTTTGGACGAGACTCTTTGGGGCTTGTGTTTGTTTGTGCAAATGTATGCGTAAGCACAATATTCATGTATGTATGTAAGACTCTCAATGCCTGTGTGTGCGTGAGTGTGTGTGCGGGAGTGTGTGTGAGTGTGTTTGTGTGCGTATGTGGGATTGGGTTGTGTGCTTTATGCCGTTTTCTACACGCCCAACGCCTAAATCGCTCGACGTTGATGCGGAAGTGTTGCCTGGGCGCCCACTTCAAACAACTAGAGCGACTCAAAGCTCAAAGCTTCAGATATGGCTACCATATGAATATAAAAATGAATGTATATGAATACTTAGCTGTTTAAGAGTGTGTGAGTATGTCTGTGAGTTTGTGTGCGGTTATGTTTGGGCCTAAGCTGCGTATTAAATGTAAAGTATAAATAATTAACAGCATACTAAGACACCGAAATGAGGCTGTTGAACAAAAGGAGCCTGCGGTTAGCAGCCCTTGTTACAATTGGCGCCCAATGTGGAACAGTCCTCTCTAATTAGGCGCGCTTTAAGTGCAGTCGTGTGGCTAATCAGAGGGGACACGGAAAATGGATTGGGGGCTGTGGATAGAGTGAAACCAATCTGCACAATGCTCCAGTTAATTTACAGTTTTAATGCGTTTTCGACTTGTTGTTGGTGCACCAAAGTGGTTTCGGCCGAAATCAAGCTAAGCAGATATACACACACATACACATAGTACTAACAGCAAAGCAAACAAACAAGCAAATAAGCAAAAACATAGAGACGGACGGGCAGACAGATAGGCAATGGCAACAAGCGGAGGCTAATTCATTTGTTGGCTTCCGTGCACAAAACCAGCAGCCGTTGCATACTTTGCGGCGCAAACAAAACCAAGGCACCAGAGGCAGCCACAGCCAAAGCCACAGCCACTGCCACAATCGTAGTTGCAGTTGCAGTCGCAGTCGCAGTTGAAGGCAGCATCCAATTCGACCCCCTCCCCTCCCCTCTTCTGTGGCAGTTGCAGTACTCGTACGTGGAGCCGTACACGTCAATGAGTCCCAAAACAAAAACCAAAAAACTGCATATATAGACATATATGGTAGTCGCAGGCATTCCCATGCGAGCTCTACTCGGACTATTTGGCCTGGCTGAGCCTGGCCAGAGGCAGGCGGAGTCTGGCCGTAAAACTCAGAGCAATTCGTTTTAATGAATCCATCCACATGCAGACATGGCCGACCGCCCAGGCCAACCAGGCAGCTCGTCAGAGCAACTGATTGTATCAACTTCCTAAGTGGATTTTGCAGTCCAACTGGCATTACGCCTCTTGGCCGCAGGTAATTTCGTATGAATGAAAAGCAAAAGTCTGCACGGGCCACATCACAGGCACTCGCCCACCCCTTTCAACCCTCCTCTCTATTCATCTCTCCCTTTCTGTCAGCATTGTTGCAGCTGAGGCCAGCTTGTTGTTACTTATTCATGGCATTGCCTATGCATATGAGCAACTTTCAGCTCTGATTCTCTGTCATTTTATGTATTTGCCTTTTGGTCGCGAGCTGCTGCTAGCCCTGGTTCTGACGTTGTCTTTCAATAAACATTCATTCACACTGTCAGTTGAAGCCAGCAGAGACCCACCTAATCCGCCATCCTCAGCTGCCTCAGTTTCGATTCCCAGGACCTGCCAGTTATGATTTTTGTTTAGCTGCCGAATGTTGCTGCAACTTTGCTGGCTTTCTTTGCAGTTTCTGTTCAAACCGAAATACCAACCCCACCCCACCCCAAGCACATTCCCCTGTCTACCGTTGCACTCGCTGCGGCTTTTCACACTCATGAATTTTTAAGCGGCATTTTGCAGTTTTCAGTCACTAACACCGAGTTCCGGGCCAAGACTGCGACGTTGCATTTCTCGTTGCATTTTCAGCAAGTCGAAATAGTTTCTTATGCAATTTTTATGATTGGATTTGGGAGTTGCATAACCAAGTGGCACTAAAAACAGGATTCGAGCTGCATTCCCAATGAGAAGCTCCAAGATATTTGACAGCCACAAATCGTGTTGGTACGGGCGATAAGGATGAAAGTTATTGCCATTATAGATTGCATCACATACAGAGCTAGTAAATAAACTTGATAAGCAAATTCTACATTTGCATACGCTTTACAAAAAATACATACCTGGTTACCGATAGTGCCGTATTCTCGATTGCAACATTTGAATTAGTTTTTATATGCGGTTGGCGGTAAAACTTATTCTTTGGAAATAACCAACCGCAGCTTAACAAAGCCAACAGACAACTTTAAAAAAGGGATTTGCACAAAAACTGCATTTCAATTAGTTATTGCGAAATAAAGTTGCCCGGCCATGGCGCATATGAAATTAGTTGTAATGAATATAACTTGCCCCACCTTTACCCAACAGCTGCCCAGCTGAAAGTGTTGTTCAGCAGCCGCTGCTGCTGTTCGTGTCTGGCTAATGGAAGCTGGCTATTAGTTCATAAATTACGTAAACCTTTTGCTGCAGTGTTCTTTCTTCTTCATCTTTTTCTATTTTTTTCTTTATTTTTAATTTAAAAACGCATTTAGTGTGAGCGCATTTCACTTAGTTTTTTATGTATTACGTTAAACAGCTTTAGACACTCAACTGGGCTGGGGTTTTTATATGCGAACATTCCAGCTCTCTCTCTAACTACTTGTCTCTCTCTTTTCCTCTCGTTGCAGCTCTCTGGTGCACAGCAACTACAACAGCAACAGCAACGGCAACGGCAACGACAAACGGCAAAACTAATTTATGGCATTAAAAATGCATATTTTCTAGCAGTGCGTTGCCAGTTTTTATCATTTGCCAAGTGCGAAAGGCGTGCGCCAAGGCAGCAGCCGCTTTCAGTTGCGGCGCCCGAAAGTGTGCACCGCTTTCCGGTACTGGCTGTGTGCGCGTGTGTGTGCGTGTGTGTGCGAGTGTGTGCGAGTGTGTCTCCGTGCTGCGCTCTGACTCTGTGTGTATGTGTTAGTGTTAGTGTGTGTGCATGCGTTTATGCGATCTACGAGCAGCTCATGCAGCTAAAATTGAATTCGACTGGCACAAAGCAGCATTAGAGCAACTGAGCCTGAAAATTTCCTCTCAATCTACACCCCGCGCCCGCTGCTTAAACAGCATCTTCCCTATCGTCTGCATCGTCGGCAGCAGCAGCACCAGCAGCAGCAGCAGCCTCGCATGATAATTCACTGCTTTGGCCCTGGACTGGCAACGAAATGGCTTTCCTATGTGCAACGGTAAGTACATATAACTCCTGTTAAATAAATACAATATTTTTAACCAAAGTCAAAAGCTATTGCTACATGTGCGGTTGATTGCCTTTTGGATTAGGTTCAAACGAACTCAATGTGACTATATAATATAGCTTTATCGGTCTTGTACCGTAACCAAGTGTTCTACTAATATAAATAAGTTAAATATTCATTAATTTATGCCATTTAATAGAAGGTAATATACATAAGTCCACCTGAATGGGTTGTCAGGTTTTTTTGATGTGATATGCAATGCAATTGCGAAAACGCATATTTACATTATACGATGTGCTTATGGCCATAATCAAGCCAAGTTGTGTACTTTCTTGTTGCTTTTGATCGTTAAACGTGTCGTATGCGTGATGTACATATTACGCTTTAAACACACTTTCGCCACCGGCGGCAACCTCGACGGGCACTCAAGTAATTTTAATAATGTGCAAAATGTCCGCTCGTTCTGGTTAAAGTACCAGATGAAGCGTTAAAGCGATAGCCTCGACCATTTTTTTGTGATATGAGTGTGTACAAGTCCTGCCGGCGATTGCAGCTGCAGTGTTGACCACGTTCTGGTGAAAGCATAATATTAATCATACGCCGCATGTGCAGCAACTTAATGAATGTGATTTTTAAAATACGTATATATATATATAGACAGAGAAACAGAGAGAGAGAGAGAGAGAGAAACGTATGTTGACAAATAAACAGCGCTGATAATACGTGTAAACTTTGCCCGAAAAAAGAAAACAATAATAACAACCCATAGGACAGCAGTGGCAAATGTGCAAGTGTGAGTCTGTGTGTATAAACAGCTGTCTGCACTGCCAATACGTGGCTTGCGGATAGACTGACTGAAAGGACAGCAACAAGAAATTGCCTGCTCGACCAGTACCAGGACTATTTCCAGTGCCAGAACCAGTGCCAGAGCCTCTACCAGAACCAATAGAATGACAATGACGGCGTCGATGTCGAAAACCAATTCACTTTTGCCAGCAGCAGGCACGCAAGCCTTCATCTTCAGTGCTATACAGTGTGGCCAGTCTCTCCATGTGTGTGTGTGTGTGTGTGTGTGTGTGTGTGTGTGTGGGTGTGTGTGTGGATGTGTGTGTGTTTCCATCTGTTTTGATGCTGATTGTCAAGTGTCGCCGACAGACACGTGCTTACATTGCAGACTGCTCTTGGTCCCCCATTCTGGCACCCACTTTTGCAATCCACGTTTGAGCTGCCAACAGTATTAAATTTATACGGCATGCGTTTTCAGTGGCTTAAGCCAAGGCAATAATATAGGATTTTGCGGTTTGGTATGGCATATGGCCGCAACAACAATGGCACATTCAAGTGCATTTGAGCGGCAATCATTTTTGTGGTTAACAAATACAAAAGCCTATTAATGAACATACACACAACAACAACAACAACAACAAGTTGAAGAAGAAGAATAGGGCACACAATAACTAATAGAGCTGTGGTTGCATTCTGTGTAGGTGTGCAAGTGTGCAGGTGTCCAGGTGTGCAGGTGTGCGAAAGCGATTGTGCACTTGTCTGTGTGCGGCTTTTGTTTCATTTAATCAACGATATTTAGCTGACAAGCGCTCAAGGCAAAAGCGCTTTCTTGCAATTGATTACCCAAAAACAAAATTCAAATTGAATAGAATGCAGCAAATGCAAATGTGTTCCCAGGACAATACAAGCTGTGAACTATAACTAACTTAGAACCTCAACTTTTCATTGTACGTGACGTGTGCGTGTGCGTGTGTGTGCGTGTGAGCGAGAGTGGGGCGTTATTTAATTGAATTTTAAATTATTCTTATCTCAAAAAATGGTTAGTTGCGCTCATGAATAAATCAGTTTTCAATTTTACTTGCTAATTTGATTGGAGATTGCCAGCGAGAGAAACGACGCGTTAGATAGAGATAGTTAGAGAGAGGGCGCACGTAAAATTAGAGAATTGTGCTCAAGTTGTTAGACAAATCAAAAATTAAGCTAATAAAATGAACTGTCTGAGACTGCAGAAGTTAAGCAATGACTTGTGCGAAAGTTAAAAAGTCTGAAAGTTATTCATGATAATTTGTAGAGTGGGTTAGCATCCAATTTATGCCAAGGCGCTGAAAACTTTCAGGAATTTCATAAACGAGTTGAAAAGCTCGAGGCAAAGACATTTACACAAAACGATACCTTGGAACTACTAGCAGCTATTTGGAAGCTTAAAAATATTGAAATATCTAAGTTCTATGCAGTTAAGCACAGACTCATGCCCAATAATATTCAATTAACACATTTGTTTTTCGTTTACTTTGGGCTATTAATGCGCATTTCTAAAATTGTTGAATGGGTAAAAAATGGTGGCAAGGTTTATGCAAATACCATGGCATATACTCAAGCGCGGGTAACACATGCACCCACTTGCATACGAAGTTGTTTATAATCGCATAAATTTAATATAAATAATGCAATAAGGCACATTGCAACGACTAAAAGTATGCAATAAAATATGCGACCAAGTCAATGCAAGCACTCTGACACATTGATTGCATAATATTCAATTATTAAAAGCTAACAGAGCGCCACGAGGGGTGCAGAAGTCGCCGCTGAGGCCACTTTTCATAACTGCCAGGCCAGAGAGCGCAAGCAGAGCACTTTTGTCAATGGCCAAACCTCAAAGTCAGATACACACACTCGCTCATAAATGACTTACTGCTCAATGCACACACACACACACACACACATACACTGGCGTACTTGCGTCATCAGCATCGTCAGATTTGAAGCTGTTTCTGCTGTGGAGGCCTTGGCATGCAGTCAAAACGCAGGGCTCCCATTTTCCACAACTATTTTTCTGTGTCAGCTAGCCAGTATGTAAGATGACATATATAGAATCAAGAGATGGAAGGGCGGGCGAAGTGATTAGAAGCAGGGAGTCCAGTCAGGCATACGAATGGGGATGCAGCTGGCCAGACTGAAGCATATCCCAGCCCATTGTATGTCTGTCATCAACTTAGTGCTGCTTCTGCTGCTGCTGCTGCTGCAGCTGTGGTGGTGCAAAGCCAAAACAAACAAAAAACTTAACCTCAGCACAAATTTAAGCAAATATTTGCATACCACATGTGGAGATTGAGGCAACTCTTCACGTCCGTTGACAGTGACTCGGTCGGAGACTTGACTTCTATTTGGCGTACATGGTCTGGCCGTCTCTTGATGCTGGGCATTGATGCAATTGAAGCCGGAAGCAGTTGCAGTGTCAGCAAAGAACTTAACCAGGTGGCGCTGCATCCTGCTACTACTCAAACTTAGCTCGCATTCACAAAGTGAAGCAGTTGAAGAAATGTTGATGCATGCATGATTTTAATCTGTTAAATGCGAAAATGCTTAAATGCCATTGCGGACTTTTCAACCGTTGGCAATGACTGCAGCTAATGACGCGCAAAATGTTTACAAATCATTTTGTCAATAACGACAACTGGCAAGGGATATACACGCCTGATCCTTCCATAATTTGCCCACATTTCTTACATTCATCGACAGGCGGCCATGAAAAGGTCATTAGTGTGCCTCTCTCACTCTGTGTGTTGGTGTGTGTGTGTGTGTGTGTGTGTGTGTGTGTGTGTGTGTGTGTGTGTGAGTGTGGCACAAATGGCCATTCAATATGCTATAGAAAACACATACACTCACACACACGCACACAGACATATGATGCTTATAGCTAAAGCCAGCAGCCATAACAGCCACATGCTTTTTTCCACAACATTAACGCAAATTGCAAATAATAAAAATTCAAAATACCGAACCGTACGGAAAGCTGCACGTGTTGCTGTTGTTGTTGTTGTTGTTGTTATTGTTCCTTGTGGTGGCATAGTGTGTGTGTTTTTGTGTGTGTGCAGGCTCAAGTGTTGGCCTGCGGAATCCATAGCAAACCACAACAAGAAGCTGACTACGGGCACATTTATCGCAGCTAGCGAGGCATTTTTTAAGCCCACCTACAACTCTTGGGTGTAAGTGTGTGTTATGCCAAAAAAAAAGTAAGGAATGCAAATTGTGCTTTATTGCGAAAGGGTATGCAGAAGCGAGTGGCATGCTTTAAGATAACAACTCATAAAAAGATTATATCTTTAAGATATTTTGCATAACACCTCTAGATATACAGAGTCATAAAATTCATTATCTTTCATATAGTATCGAATACATCTTGTATCTAGAAATATATATTTTACTAGAGTGCCACAAGTAGACAATTGTTGGTCAATGTTCCAACTGTCTTTAAACGACTTTTTGTATGCATAAGTAAACTAGTTTGTCGCAGAGTGTTTCCATTAAAATGTTTCGTCCGTAGCAGTTTCTATTTCTAGGGCATTCCAATGGCGACTTGTAATGTTTTCTTTCATTTTGTTAAGTTTTCCGTGTGCTGCTGCTCAAGCGAATCAAAATGAAATCTATTTTATGCAAAGGCACGCAACGTGCCCAAGACCCAGATGCAGATCTGGGGTCCTGTTCCTGGAACTAAGCCAAATGTAAGGAGGAGTCACATATGCGGCACCCTACTTAACTGCTTCTGTGGCTTCCAATCCTTTGCTGTGTGTGCATGTGTGTGTGTGTGTGTGTGCCTCAGTCTGTTTGCCCATCGAGGCGTTGGCGGGCTAAAAGCTTTACCTATGCAGTCATGCATGCGTGCCGTGCATGTGGCCCTGCCTCTTGGTCTTGCCGCACAATTTATGCATGTGCGAAATATGGCGCCACAACACATTTTTACCTTTGCCGCTTGCTGGCGCCTTTTGTTGGGCGTCTGTGAGTGTTGCGTTGATGGTTTATTTCGTTTGCTGGTCTCCAATATTGAAATGTTGTCGTGTAACGCTTTTTACGTCTTTGAAATCTTTTGCAGCTGGCCACAGTTATGAAATGGCGACCAATGGTGATATATCGATGATCTCGCCGCCAACGTCTTCCATTTCAAACGATCAAGATCCGTTTGGACAGTTGCCACCGCTACCACCGCCGTTGCGTTCCACCCAAGTGCTTCAGCCGTTGAGCGTATTTCCAGGTGCACAAAGAGCCAATCTCTTCAGGCCTATATGCTCACTTTGTTTGTTGTTGTTTGCCTGAGTTTATTTTGTCAGTTGCTCTTTTTTTTTTATATATATTTTATCTATAGCTTTTATTCGTCTGCACATTTATACATTAAAAAAAAAGAAAAGTATTTGATTTATCAAATATTGTATTGCCACTTGAATTCGTGTGTAGATTGGATTTTTGATTTGTTTGTTGGCATAATTGCTGCTGTATTTTATACTCGTTTATTTTGATTTCGACTCCATCACAGCAATACCTGCCATAGCATACGAGACTTCACGTTTTGGCATACGCTCCTTCACTGACACACACACACATCCGCACACACACACACACACACACACACTCACACAAACGCTTAGACACGTGAAATCAAACATACCACAACGCGTTACAGTTACACACATTTTTGTTAACTTTGTTCAGCATTTTTCAGCTGCGCCAGCCGCACTCATTCAGTCAATCAATCGAACTCCCTTCAAAAAACCAAAAAAAAAAAAAAAGTCAAACAACAGTCGTCCATTAATTAAATGTCGCTCTTTCTCTGTCCTCTATCCTCTGCTTGCTCTTTGTATTTTCAACTTTTTGACTAACTACTAAAAAAAAAATATAATTTTTTGTTAGTCCCCACTAAAATAAATAAAAAAAAAAAATACTTTTTCAAGTAGCTGTGCTCTGTTTTGATGCTACTGTGTATTTATTCGTATTTTTGTCTTTTTTTTTTTGGAAATGTTTGTTAGAAAAAAAATACATATATGAAATGTAATTCGCAGCTGCTTTGTAAACATTTTTTGAACGTTTGCCAGCCGTTACTCATTCCACTTCACTTACCTTAGTGCTGTCCCACAACTGTCAAATAAATAAAAACGAAAAAAAAAAAAAAAATATATATATAAAAAATAACAAAATGCTAACAAACTATAACAATTTTGTGCTCTCTTCCTCTATTTTAATAAACCGGACAAAACAACAAAACGAATATGATAACAAATCATGACAAATAATTTACTTTTACATTGAATAATATGCTTTTATGGGTTCATTTTAATGTAGAGTGAGTATAAAACAACCAAGTAGGAAGAACAAGAGCTTACTTTTAATGTTAACTACATTATTTAATTTTAATTATATATATTTGTTGCTAAAATATGCTGTGCAAATTTTTTGCTCACTGCTGTTGCCTTTTTTTTATACTTGTGTTTAGTTTTTTTTTTTCTGAAGAGATTTTTGTTTTCTTATTTGTACTTTGGGTCTTGAGCCAGAGTTGTGCGTAATCCTTAAGTAGTTTTGTTTCACCATAAATCCTTATGAGCCTGCTCGTTATTCTTCTTGTCGTGTATGCCTTGTTCAGTGTCCAATTTGAGCGAAGATTCTTACGATTATGTTTTTGGTGGTCGACGTAAGACTCCGCCCACAACAACGTCAACACAACTTAAGCTGACCTCGCCGCCAGTGCGCCTGCGACCCGAAGGTGCGTATCTTAGTTTTGCAATCAAATTATTTCCAGCCAAATGCTCAGCTACTCATTTCATTTGAATGCCACCCACAGACGCCTATCGAGGTGAAAATATAAACAACGGCCGTTTCTATCGTCATTCCTTCAGCTATGCCCCCAAGCGCCAGCGCCACTCGAGCCGTGATGATCGTGACCGCGAGTCTAGATTGAGATGTCATGGCGAGGATGAGGCAACACTGCGCCAATTGCTGCTCGAGTATGTAGACTGACAACAAATGAACTCTATCTGACCTGAAATGTCATGCAAATGAAATGAACACATAATGAACATGGCGTGGACTGTGCAACTGCAACAGCAACAGCAACAGCAACTGCAACTGCAATTGCAACTGCAACAGCCACAGCAACAATAATTTTTTGCATGTCCCCTCATTATGCGTCATTTAATTTACATGCCACAAACTGTCCACCATAAAGTATTAGCATTTAGCTAGACAAATAAACAGCAATTATTTTACAATATGCATATTTAATTTGTTCCACAAAGAATACTCAAAGTTTTTAATTTATACATTAAATGGCACGCACAAATAATTTAAATTTAATTTATGTATTTGGCTACTCTCGAATTGCGGGTGGTTGTTTAATTTACAAATCAGCAAACACGCGAAATTATTGTCAGTTTGTTTTGTACTTTAATTGAATGCATAAACAATGTAATTTCAACAGATTCCGATTTACAACTATTATGATATTCATAATTTTTTTTTTTTTGTTGTTTTTTGGATTTCGGCAATATTTATATGCAAATATTTAAACTCTTCTACTTTCCCCTCCACACAGATTAGCGCAAATTATGTTCATTTAAGTGTCTAGCGCGTGTCCTTAAAATGTCAATTATTCATTGAGGCCATTTGTGTTGTGTTGTTTTTGTTGCGCAACTTCCCAGAAACGAACAAAAAAACGTTAAACATAATAAATTAAAACTGCCCAAATACTATCCAACAAAATATTAATAACAGCTGCGAGCACATGCGACATTCACCAAAACTCGGGTTAAGAAATTCGCTGAAAAAATTCCACAACAAAGCAAACAAAAGAAACCATGAAAAAATATTAATTAAGCAAAACGTTTTTTGATGCATACCTAAAAAAAATCAAGAGAGAGTCAGAAAGAGAGAGAGAGAGAGAAAAAGAATAAATTGTTAAACAAATAAACGACGGAGTGTGAACACGAAAAAAAAGGCAACAAAATGATGGGCACAATGCCACCCAGGTACATATACATAGCATTCCAAACTTTTCAAATAAATTTTAATATAAACAACAGCCATAGTTATAATTAATAACTCGAAAATTACGCATACGCCATGTATTCATTTCTCTATATGTTTATTTTTCACCGTACAAATATTTTAGAATAATGCAAATCTATTAAATAAACGTCATTTTTTCGTTCCACTTTTTTTGTTTTTTTTTTTTTTTCTTTGTTTTTATATCTGAGCGTGCATGAGTGTGTGTATGTGAGCGAGTGTTGACGTTTGTATCCTGTAAGCGGTTGGGAATTTAATTTGTATAAGTTTAATTAAAAATGGTTAATTCGCTTCATTCGTTTTGTTGCTGCGACGTAAGCTGTGTGAAAGAAACACATTCATTTCATAATGCAAATTAATGCATTAATTAAATTTGTTCACATTTTATCATTGTGTAAGGTAAATTTAAATTTTATGTCGTTCTGTAATCGATTTGGGCTACAAAAAAAATCATCATCTTCATGTACATATTATTATATATTTAGCTTATATCGAAGTTCAATGCAATTGGTTTTCATTTTTTACAAGCACCAAGAAATATTTTTCTTATCAAACTTAACGTTTTTGCGGAATTGTACTTTTTGGACAGCTCCGTTCCAAATTTCAATTTAAATTTCAACTCTGTATCGATACCTGTCATTGCGGAACATGGAACTGAACTGTTTAACAAACATTTTCATTATAACTATTCTCTTGTCATCTACTCCCCTCGCCCACAATAACAATCTACCATTACAACAACAATAACTGCAACTATTACAACAACAACAACAACAACAACAACAACAACAACAATAACAACAACAAATTACAGAAGCCACACCCAAAGTGGTTTGGTATTCACGCCACTCAATGAGTATGCAATTTCCATTTCCATGCAACTACAAAGAAACTATTTACTATATATACATAGCCATACATTATATACCACTTATATACCACATATCTACCTTTCTAAGTACCAGCTATTTATTTTCTGCAATTCCTTTTGTAACATACCCCCTCTAATGCTATGCACTTGCACAATGGCACTTCATAGACCATTTAATTGATTTGTTAATTATTTACAATATTTAGCGCAAAACCATAATACAAAACTCGTGCTCACGAGAATTGCATGCCAGACAATTAAATTTCAATTAATATGCCTAAATTTAATTTAGTTGTTAAAATGTAATTATTGTCGACGCAGTCAGGACGCATTTTGCAATACTAGTTAAAAGTATGTGGTGCGGTGGTGACACTGTGGTTTCCCAGCCCACTGTCCCACACACTTGATGCGTATTGTAGGGCACTTGAGAGCAGCCACAACAATCTCTGTACTGAAGCCTCTGCTGCTCTTATTGTGTGCCCGTGTGTGCGTGTGCTTGTGCTTGTGCCTGTATATGTGCTATGTTCTTTATGACATGCCGAAAAGTGTTCGAGTGCCATTAAGTCGCTGTACGCACTTCAAAGCACACACAGACACACACACACACACACACATGCCTACACGCACACTCAACCCAAAACCCACATTCAATCATCAACAACAACAACATCCTCGTCCTTGCAGTCAGTCAATCAACATTCGGCACTCAACCTGACTCATTCAGCCCCCCCACTTTGAATCCCATCAATGACATAATTATCATTCAACCGATCTAATACCATTCCCCCGCACCCCTCAAAAGTCGTGCGTAAGCTTTATAGAAAGAAAAGCTCATCTCTTAATTCAATTTTCCCATCACACAATATTTTGAAATCTGTCCTTTTTTAACTTAACCTGTTTTTATCATTTTCGAAAATCATTAAAAATGTTTTCATTTTTTTAAATTGTTCTACTAATTGGCGGAATGGTCCTCTCACCAATCAAAACAATAAATAAATAACATGTTTGAACAAAATAACGAAATGCTCGTACAAAACATTAAGAGTCCGTTTCCATTTGTTGATTCATCTATATCACTTTATTGCGACTGCCAAACAAATTGGTGCATTTATGTTCTACCTCATGTGTGTTGTCTCATTTTAGCATCCAATAAATATAAATAAAATTTGAAAACTACAAATAAATGTTAATTCATGCAAATTATACAACAACAACGAAAAAATCATAGAAAACAAAGCAAAAAAAAATTCAAAAATAAAAAAATTTAATCTAACTAAAATGTAACAAATTCAACGTGAACGTCAAATAAAACGAAAATTGATTTAAATGCCATTAAATGCAAACAGCGCCGCAAAAAAAGTAATAATATCAAAAATAATATCGAATTGCGTACATTTGGTGAATGTCCCATATGCCAATTGGTCTTAACAACTTTAATCTGTACAAATATGTATTATATTACAAAATATTTTATTCCAAGTATTTTGGTTTTTAATCTGCAAAATATTGTGTCAGTGTACAATAACTTTAATTAAATGAACAGAGAGCGGGTAAAAAAGCTGAAAACTATAGATACGTTAGTTATGCTGAATCCGAGTTACAGTTGCCAGGTTGCTGATATTCAGATTGCCTTCACCCATCCGTATACCCTGTCAAAATTCACAAACAGCCCAAATATATTATTATATTTTATATACTATGCAGGCGCAGTTACGCAAAGGACAACTCCGTTAAAAGCGTCGAGCGCACGTATACGAGTACCTTAAATGAATACAAAAGGTAGCTGCAACTGCAACAGCAGCAGCAGCAACTACAGCAGCAGCAGCAGCAGCAACAGCAGTGGCAGCAGCAATAAGCTGCGTACTTTGTTGGCAGAAATTGGCAGAAATTTTATTAAATGCTCACGTATACAAATCCGTTACACAAAACCGAAAATACTTGCATCTGACAGATTCACACGCATACACACACACACACACTCGCAATCACACATGCGTGCCCAAATGTACGTATGCGCTATACGAATACAGATGCATATAGAGATTCGGTTATAGCTATAGTGATATAGGATAAAGATATGCATGCCAATACATATGCACAAACAACAATTGTTTTCATGGAGAACAATAACTTACACAGGATGCGGCTCGTTCTGGTCCTGGCTGTGCTGCTCGTTGCTCTGCAGCTCGTTTGCTGATGTATGCATAAAATAATCCTTTTATGCTCGGCACAACAATGTCCGTGAAATGCAAAACAATAACAATAATAACAACAACAACAACAACAACAACAACAGCAGCAACAACAACAAAATGACAACATGTTGCGAATAACTCCCGCTGACTGCCCCCTGTCCCCTACCCGCTGCTAGCTGCCTAGGCGCATTAACATAATGCGCAGACAACTCAAGTGCATGGCATTGCAGGCATGGAAATGGGGGCAGGCCATGCGGCCTACGTGTCGTATGCGCATTGTGTGCACCAGTTATCATCCATCCTGCCCCAGACCAACATTCTCTCGCACATTTCCCTATAGAGCATGTGCAACTGTCGCCTATAACTTTTGCCACTATGTCCTGTTTTGTTTGTTGTTGCTGTTTGATTTTGGGCGCCACTCGCGCGTTTTGTTTGCTCAACCAACAAAAAGCACTTCTCACTTTCAGTCATAGATACGTACTATGTACATATAGTGCTTTTGGCTGGCACTCTCGCCCAGCCCATCGCAACCAAGGCAAATGCAAACACACACGCACACACATCTAGTACATGCATGCGTGGGCGTTTATTTGTTTGAATGTCGCTACATGTTGATGAAAATGTAAATTGTATGCATTCTGTAAGGATTCAAAGTCGAATCTAAGCCGGGCAGCAAAACTGATTACTTCACTTGGTATACACTAACTCGGGTTAGGACAACAAAGCAATATTTCTAAAATCCGATTGTGCATAAATTTCGAATATTTCAAAATGCTTTTCAATTTTTGTGTACATTAGAAACGGGGCAGTTATTCAAAATGAGACACATAATTGATACCATCTAGTATAAATGTCGCGGAATATGGAAAACTACTTTTCAATGTTTGTTTCAAATGTTTGTTATGAAGGACACTTAGAATTTTGAAAAACGCAGATTACTTTTGTTTATACTTAGTAATAAAACTATGTAAATAATTTTTAATTCGTTTTGAATATTTTTAACGGTTTTTGTATTTCTGATTGCTTTTATTACTTAGGCTTATATAACTTGTATAGTCAAAGCTTAGCAAGAGTATTAAAGTCTCGGTGCTAAAACAAAGATTATTTTTCCCTTTTATTTCCCGACTCCTGCTGCATTATTCTTGCCTTAACCTTAACGAAAAATGCCAACAATTTACTTTAACTTACTTTTTATGTACTTGGTGGCTTGGCTTTTCAGTTAGTGTTGTTGCTGCTCCATCCCCACGTCTCTCTCTATCTCACTTTTTCTCTCTCTGTGGAACCGCAACAACACACAAATCCTTTCGTTTACTTAGAGCTCTGCTTGGTTTGTTGCTATTGCCTGCCTGTGTGTTCTGTAGTTTGTGTCTGCTTTCTGTGTTTTGTATTTTGTATTTTGAGTTTTAGTTGCAGCCCAAAGCCATAAAATTTATGTTGCTTCATTCCTCAATAATTGCATAGCTCGGTAAATTTTAATGTAAGCGGTCATAAATAATTTCGTTTTGTGCCTTCGTTTGCTCGACTTGCGCCGCAAAATAAATTACGTTGATACGCTAAATAACTACGTAGTCTGTAGCGTAATAAAAGCCAGAAAGGCATTTTCCAGCTATCGTACAACTAAAGTGCATTTTTGCTTGATATTTTCTTTAACTGTAACAAACACAACTTCTGCAACAACAATAACAACAACAACAACAACAACAACTACGGCAACAACTGCTGCAACAAATATATGTGAACAACAACCAAATGTCTTGGGGGCACTTTGCGTGACTTGGCGTCGGCACGTGACGTCACGCAACGTCGTCAATTGAATTGTATGCATTGCACGCATATGACCCGCACTTGGCCACGGCCACACCCACCACACCATACTTACTCATACACACACACATGCACACACGTGTGTGTGTGTGAAACGCCCATTTGTGATGGGCGGGTCGTACGTAATTGCAACTGCAACTGGGACTGCAACACCGTGCCGCAGTTTGCAAAAGCAAGTTAGCGTGATGAGCATGAATCTATCAGCGAAACTCGATGAACTGCAGCGAGGCGATCGACACCTGGAGACGACAGTCGCCTTGTGCGAAATCCGGACACAGCTGCAGGAGCTGACCAAGTCCGTGGAGAGCTGCCAGAGTGAGGTATCTGAGGTAAGTGGAATGCACCAAATTAACACCGAACTGTGTCTCAAATTGGATTTGCTGCTGTGTGTAGGTCAAACGTGACATGGTGGCAATCAAACACGAACTGGACACCGTGCAGCAGGTGAAGGAGGAGATTGAGGAGCTCCGCGAATATGTGGATAGACTGGAGGAGCACACGCACAGACGGAAGCTAAGACTTTTAGAACAAGTTTGTAGCTTAAATTATTTGCCATGTTGTGTAATTAAATACTTGAATTTCATTTCTATTCATGTACAAACCAAACCAAAACCAAACCGAACCAAAACCAAACACCTATAAACAAAACAAACACACAACCGAACAATATGACACTGAAAAGTTGTGCTCATGATGGAATTTGCTTGAATTTATTTGTATTATTTTCTCTTTATATAAATATTATAAATGAGTAACATGGGCGCAACTTTCTAAAACCCCACATACACAGACGGCTTTGAAATTCACAATATGTACTTGTTTATTTTTTAATCCTATTATGTTTTGTAAATTGTTTGATAATAAATTCTAAAACTCTTTAGATACTTGTATTATTTCATTTATTTTGTTTTTATTAATTTACAGTGCGCCCCCCCCCTTATCAATTTTATGAATTACCTGACACAAATTTCAATTTAATTCTAAGTTTAACTTAAATCTGAATTTAAAACTAGTAGCTATTGGCCTCATCTCAAAAATATGATATACAATTTTATTTGTGATGCACACTCGTTTGCAAAGCGTTTGAAGAACCCGCACATACCCAACCAATCATCCCGAATCCCGTCCTTCAGTTGTTTATATCGTGCTCTACTAATTTATTATGTTTTGGTAACCTTTACAGGGTCTGACCTTCTTCCTCACCTACTCCATATTCTCGGCGGTGCTCGGTATGCTGCAATTTGGCTACAATACTGGAGTCATCAATGCGCCCGAAAAGAATATTGAGAATTTTATGAAAGATGTGTACAAGGATCGCTATGGCGAGGACATTAGCGAGGAGTTTATACAACAACTGTACTCAGTAGCCGTCTCCATATTTGCCATTGGCGGCATGCTGGGTGGTTTCAGTGGTGGCTGGATGGCCAATCGCTTCGGCAGGTTTGTAAACAATCAAGTATAACTCACTGCTCCTTTATTTACATTCTTATATTTGGGTCCCACAGAAAAGGCGGTCTATTGTTAAACAATGTGCTTGGTATATCGGGCGCCTGTTTGATGGGTTTTACCAAAGTTAGTCATTCCTATGAAATGTTATTCCTTGGCCGATTTATAATTGGTGTTAATTGCGGTAAGTGATATATAACCAAAAGCAAATCCAACAGCAAGTAGCAGCAGTCCTTCACCTTTGTCTCGTTACAGGTCTCAATACATCATTGGTGCCAATGTACATCTCTGAAATAGCACCACTGAATCTACGCGGTGGTTTAGGTACTGTTAATCAATTGGCTGTGACTGTAGGTTTACTATTATCCCAGGTGCTGGGCATTGAACAAATCTTAGGCACTAATGAGGGCTGGCCCATACTGCTGGGCCTGGCCATATGTCCAGCAATATTGCAATTAATATTACTGCCAGTTTGTCCCGAATCGCCTAGATATTTGCTCATAACCAAACAATGGGAGGAGGAGGCGCGTAAAGGTAACAGCTAGTGCGTATTATTGTTAATACGAACCGATACAATTTATTTATTCCCTGTGCAGCATTACGACGCCTGCGCGCCTCCGGTTCCGTAGATGAAGACATTGAGGAAATGCGCGCTGAGGAACGCGCCCAACAGGCCGAGAGCCATATATCGACCATGGAGCTTATTTGCTCGCCTACATTGCGTCCGCCATTGATAATTGGCATCGTGATGCAACTGAGCCAACAGTTTAGCGGCATCAATGCTGTCTTCTACTACTCCACATCGCTCTTCATGAGCTCCGGTCTGACCGAGGAAAGCGCCAAGTTTGCCACGATAGGCATTGGCGCCATTATGGTAAACAATACAGGCTCGTAAATACCTTTATTTGATTACCAATATCTTGTTTTATCGTACAGGTTGTAATGACTTTGGTGTCCATACCGCTAATGGACCGTACCGGTCGTCGTACATTGCACTTGTATGGCCTGGGTGGCATGTTCATCTTCTCCATATTTATTACGATTTCCTTTTTGATTAAGGCAAGTACAAGGGTTACATCTATTTTTTATAGCTACTATTTAGATTTCAGTATTTTAAAGTGTGGCAAGTATTCGCCTGAACTTTTTAAGTTTTTGCATACGTTTTAGGCATATTGCATTTGATTTTGATACTGATTTTAAGATGCTGTCAAAATATTTTAAACCTAATGCTGCATCTAAAGTGTACTTTAATATTTATGTGTTTTTATAAATATTTGAATATTGACATAGATATTTTATGCATGATGTTGTCTAGCCTCCAAATAAGCCCCTGACGATATACAAAAAAAAAGGGCGGGTTTTTCAAAAAAAAAAAAAAAAAAAAAAAACAACCATCGCATGACAGTTGTCCCGTGCGTATATATATTTATATAAATTATTGATGTGAGATATGTATATTTGAATTTATAATAAGTTGAATTTATAGCTGCGCCTCTGCCAGCAATCAGTTTGCCATTCCTTTCTATCTCGTTGCATTACTACAATATATGTGTATATAGAAATACGTTTAAATTAGTGTATACAATATATTATGTTATTTATGGGCTGCCGCTAAGCCACTGCATTTATTAATTTTTTATAAAATATGTTTTAAATGCAACACATATATCAAGTTAATATGAATCAATGCACTTAACAGACGCTTTTATACGAATTTAACAATTGTTTAATTTTTAGTACATTTCTTACTCAAACTAAATAAGTTTAGATATGACTACTTAATGTACACATATATATTTTTTTTTGTGCTAGAATATTTACGTATTTAATAATTATTACCTTCAGCTTGCTGCCCGTTTTTTGCACCTTAACTAAAATTTGTTGCTTGCTTCATAAAGTATAGCTGTTTATTTAGTTTCTGATTGTGCTGTCTAGGTTAAGTTATTGCCTAAATAAGCTGCTCGTTCAGAGATTGCATGCAAATCATGTGTAACCAACATTTAAAGCTGCCTTTTAAAATCGGAAGAAAAAGGCTTCGCTTTAACTGGCCGAGTTCAAGTACCAGCTTATTTGGGCAATTGTCTCGCCCCTCATTTAAAAGCTATTCTCGACTTGCCAGGCTTTTGGCCCCGTACAAACACAATTCATTTAACGAATGTGCAAAATCTTAATTTCAATCATTATTTCTTATATTCATTTCTTAAACTTAATTGGGCCATTACAAGAAAAATGACACAGTTTCAAATGCAAATACAATTCACACGATTTGCAATAAGTTTTCCGGGCACCAAATGCAAACAGTTCACACACAGTCAACAGCAAGACACAAGCCAGTGTTGGAAAATGTACAAAGCTGTCGCTAAATTAATACTAGAGCAGAACACGCGCTGACAAACGCTTTAAAAGGCCACCTTCAAATACACACAAAACTCACACACTCTCAAATGTGTAACACGCCGCTTAATTTATTACATAGACTTGACCTAAAACTTAAACTATATATATTATTTATTTAAGATATACTAGTATTTTCTACTACTTGTACTTTAAGCGTTCTCCAAAGGTTACAGCAAAAGAATAAAAACTCAAGAGACAGTTTGTTTTGTGAAATGTGCAGCGATGAGAACAAGTGGTAACCATTCAACTCTTTGAGAACCAAGATATTAATTACTTTAAAAAAGAATCTCAACTAAGTACTTATATTATCTAAAGAAAAGCTCAACTCATGCATAAAAGTGTTCAGATTTATATAGAGGGTTTAACTTTATAACTTTACTTTAATTTATTATTGATATGATGACTACTCTTTGATTTGTTTTGGTTTGTAATCAATGAAAAGTTCGTTAAACGAAAGTAAATGAAATTTATATAATACGAAAAGCCTACAAATCATCGAGAATGCGATTACTATGCATTTTGTATAGGAGTTTTTTGGTTATGTGCAGGAAATGATCGATTGGATGTCATATCTATCTGTGGTCGCAACGCTTGGCTTTGTTGTATTCTTTGCCGTGGGACCCGGCTCCATACCATGGATGATAACAGCGGAATTGTTCTCACAAGGCCCACGGCCCAGTGCCATGGCCATTGCAGTGCTGGTCAATTGGATGGCCAATTTCGTGGTCGGGATTGGTTTCCCCAGCATGAAGGTGGGTGCTTCATCATGATTATTGTGAAATTAATTATCATTTCTCCTTATGCTTTCAGACCTCACTTGAGAACTACACATTTTTGCCATTTAGCGTGTTCTTAGCGATATTCTGGATATTCACCTACAAAAAGGTTCCTGAGACCAAAAACAAAACCTTTGAGGAAATCTTGGCACTCTTCCGTCACAATAACGGCAGGTAAGTTTTAGATTAGTTCTAAAGCGTAGGCTTTGCACACAGCTCACCACGATTTGATAACTAGCTCTGAACAAAAAAAAAAAAGGAGACCATCACCCCTCTAAGCAGATCAACCACATCTCCACAAAGCTAACCGAAAACTAACCCCAAATGAAACAAAACTCAGCTATAAGCTGAATATATTTTCTTCAATTATGTACTTGGAAGTTAATTATGCGAAGTGCATAATGTTTTTTTTTTTTTTGGTGGCTCGTATAGCCTGCCAGCTATGCGATGCAGGAGTCAGTTGTTGATTTTTGAAATTTATCCCTCGTTTATTTTGTTGCACATTGTGTTTTATCGACTGTATTGAAAATAATCCCAACCATGTCCATTCTATGTATGCCCAAATCTGAAGGACATTTCGAGATAGTAGACTGTACGGGTAAGTTGCATGAACTAAGAGAAACTGAAACAAAAAAAAAATACAAAACACAAAAAACAACCAGTAAACAGCTCGATAAACTCCTGATCAAAGCTAAAATCAAACTACAATCCGAAGCGTTTCGCTCTATTTAAACGTAGCTCGTTTGCTGTACTTTATTAGTTCACTCTAAAGCAACTTTATTGTACATTTAATTAATTAAATACAAAAAAAAGAAAACAAAAACAAAAAAAATCCAATTAAATAAAACAAACTAAATTAAATTCTATGAAAACTTGCGCTCAAAGTTTCATACTTTTTCGGCATGTCTGCTTAACTTTGCCTGTACTCGTTACTTTGTTACAATTACAATACAAAACCAAATACAACAATCAACCAATTAACGGCTGGCTACAGCCGACAAGTACTTAATTAATACAAGTTCATATTTAGCAATTTAAATATAAACTACTCAAATATTTAATATGAATTTAAATACTCTGTACTCTTCTATTTAAATGCCATGTTTCATTATCAAACGTTTTGTAACTCTCTTTCTATTTCTCTCATATCACCTCCACCTACCCTTCAAAAACAAAAAACTTTATGAAAAACAAAAATTCAATTTCTAATTCATGCAGCGCCCTTACATCTAAACAATCCCCCTCCGAGTCTTTGTTCTCTTGCTCATTGTTCATAACTTATAAATTGGTTAGTTTACAGCACCAACAATTTTCAGTGTTAAGCCAAAACATTAAAAAAAAAAAAACAAAAATTCAAAGCACAACAACAAATGATAGCAAATACACATGAAAACTCGCTCACAGACACACCCACATGCGCACACACACACACGCTCACATAAACATAAAAATTAACAAAACACATTTTGATTATGTTGCTTGTCCATTTAGTGGGGACAGTGTCAACGACAATGGCAACAGTAGCTCCACAGCGGACATTGAGATATCGCAACGTGACTCCAATGCGACGCGAACCAAAGTGCAGTAATGTAGGGCAGCTGCCGGTCGAGTAGTTTGCCTCCCTGTTGCAGTGTCCTTGCAAATTTAATTGCCATTTCAATGTGTGCACAAGGAAACAGTCGCAAGCTCAACAATCGGAAATCACTTATTTTTGCTCAATTTCAACATCGAGTTTCGATGTGAAATTGATCGCAAAAAGTTTGTTTTCGATAGCACTTGCGATTTACTATTGTTTATTTTTAATTTATTTTATGTATTTATCATTAAGTTACTTTTCATATTGTTTATCTTATATTCATTGCTTAACTTAATAAATATTGTTCGATTATTTTTAGTTTTTTAAGTTGTTTAAATATGTTTTGTTTTGTTTTTTTTTTTATTTTCTTTATTTTGTAGCCTCGCTTAATAACTTCCAAGCCAGTTTAACTTATGATCTAAGATCTTTCAGCCAAGGTAAACTTATAAACATTAAGAAAAATATCTATACACTTTTCTGACATACCAGACAGATGTAGGCATCGACCCTTTTATGATTGCCCTCTACCCCTTTTGTAGGCGTAAGCGTTTTAGTGTTATGCCCAAAGTCTCGAAATTGCTGTCATTAGTTTGCAAAATTAAATTTAAAATACGTTTACACTTAAAACATAATCGTAGAGTGTGCGAATTTCAGGAGTATGCTAAACTGCACAAATAGCTTGGAGCCACAAAGTATGAATTCTGGCATCGAGCATGCCGCATTGATGGTATCTGAGGAGAAGACCCAACATGACTCACGTAAGAATTTAAAAAAGAATTAAAAACTGCAAGCAAAATTCCAACTTACGTTCTTAATTTCAAACTATTATTTGTTGTGCAAATTGTTCGTTCAATCAAATTTAAAAAAAAAAAAAACAAAAAACAAAAACCAAAAACCCACAAAAGAAAACAATACAAATAACAAATACAGTATTTATGTAACCACATTATATAACAAACACACAACAACACACATTCAACATAGTGACCTCTAGGTAAACAGAACAGACGTTTAGCTTGGCCGAAAAGTATAAACCAAACTAACATATATACTGCTTAGTAAAACATACATAAACACACATGTATATATACAAGACATCTAAATAACTTTACAGAACATGTTCAACATGTCGCATTATTAATTTTTTTCCATTATGTATACGAGATGTTTGACCAATAACACACACCCACACGCAAAGACATGATTAAACTATCCAAAAATAACACTAAATTACGCATAATCATATATTTTATTTACGTGCAATTAGCCTATCTTTATCTTAATATTTTATTTTCATTTGCTGAACGTTTCTTTTACTAACATCCAAACATGTCAAGCCATTATTTATATGTCTAACTCCTACGTATGCAACCTGGCATGGCATTACCTAGTATGCTGTAATATTTATTAGCCCACAAAATTATCTAGAGCAATAGTTATTTTCTTTCTTGCATATGTATATATTATAGAATAAAAGTGATAAAACGATATGCAATTGTTGATTTTGTTAAATATTTATTCGAACTAATTTGTGTTTGGATCAACAATTGCATCAACATCATCATATGTTGCTTTTTTAATTTTCTGTACGCTGCTTGGTTTCTTATCTTTGATGTTAGCTGTTTGATCTATATTTATAAAAATTAGTTTTTAAAATGGATATAAATTTAACTATACCATATTCTTTATTTTCAACACATTCATAATTATCTTAACAAATTACAATTGTGCTGCATTAATTAAAACCCCAAAACAATAAAATCAACGAATCAATTACATTGGCCAATTACAATATGGGAAACAAATCAAATTATCAACTCGGATTTTTACAACACAATAACAACAACAACAACAACATCAACATCAACCAAAAACAACTACAACACAAATAATATAATAATAACAATAACAACTTCTGTGTGTAACCAATTGAAAAACGTATCGGATAATATTGGCGCCAATCCACAAAAAAAAATGCATGAACAAATTAAAAACCATACAAAACTGAATTCTTGCAAAATATATACTAAAGTCTTTGGTACGACTTCGTTCTCATTGACGGTTGAAGGCATGGGTCCATATCCGTTAAGCGATAGCACCAATCTCTTGGGTCCAACGTCAACAAGTTATGCGGGCGGCGGGGTCGGCGTGGCCGGCTCCACGGCTTGCTATACAAACTACGGTACAAATATACAAACGCCAGTTCCTAATCGTAAATGCTACTACCAAGACTCTGACTATGGGCGAGACGATAGCTTTCGCAGGCACTCGGCGCATGGAAGAATGTCATGTAGGTTAAAAGTAACTACTCCTTAGAGCCTCTAAACCACATTCACTGCCACCACAAAAGCCACCAACTATGGTGGCGCCGAGCCACAAAGCATTTACATGAAAATGCCGCGCGTGCCGCTTGGAAGAAATCCATGAACACAATCGCACCAAGCTCGTCAGTAATCTATATAATATCTGCTCGTATCTAAATCACAATCTGCCTAGGCTAAGCTGCAACGAACTGCGGACGGTTCCATTTAATGTTGAGAGCCCTAGTTTATCAACTGCTTTAAAACTATATCATTTTTATTCCTTGGTTTTTTTAATTATAGTACGCAAGTGAAAGCGAACTTGGGAGCAACCTTAAGTAACAAACAGAATGAATTGGCTAAGTAAACAATATCTGAAAGAAATCACGTATGAAATACAAAACACTACACTGAGTGCCAATAATGCGCCTAAAAGTATACTTCAAAATAACGGAGACCAGTCGAATGCATAAGCCGAATGAATTATTTTCTAAATAGTTTCGTCCAGCTTCATAAACTTTGCACAGTTTTGGGCGCAAAATAAATCTAATTTACTTTTTTGAAGATTCGAAACTTTTCAGAAAATAACTTTGTGAAGTGCTTCGACAATTCAATCAACATCTTTCATTTCATTTACATGAATCATTCAGCTGCTTCAGTTTTTTTAGGCTGCATGACTTTTTCTCGGAATGAATGCCATTATAAATAAAAAATACCTATGCGCATGTGTATTATTGGCATGTACTTTTTGGATGCACTGTTAGAGTTAACCACTTAAACCACTTGCTAAATCCAGCCAGAAAACTAATCTAATCAATACAAAAGATTATAAAATAAACAAAAAATTAAGAGTAGCTTTATTGGAGGCTCTATTAATTGGTAAATCATTTTGATTTTTGTTCTTGGCGCCTTTACGCTTCTTGTAGCTGCATCCGAGCGATTTTTAGACGGCGGCCGAAGTACACACCAGGGCCGGAGCGCTGCCTCTGTGCCCCATCACCTTCGTCAGCAAGCACCTGCCTGCCAGAACAGCGGGCCTTGACTGAGGAACGCCTCACCTCCTGAAACTGCCAGTGTACATTCAACGAGTCGCGCTGATGAGGAGCACCAGCAGCAGCATTCCTCCTCCTCCGCCATCACCTCTGCCGCTGCCGCTACCGCCGCCACACATTCCCAGCATCAGCATCAGCCCTGTTATAACACACATGAATATGTGCATTGTAGCTATGAGAAGGATATCGTATGTGATCAAGCGCCGCCATCATTGAACACCCAACACCAGCATGAGCCGCCCCAGCCACAGGAGGCGGTTGCCATAGTTTCACATTGCCATCAGACACAGCAGCTATCGCAGCGCAAGCACAGCCACAGTCACAGTCCGCACCATAGTCGCCACACATCACCGCACAGCCATCACTCGCATCTGGGTCACGGTCAGGGTCAGGTTCAGCAGCAACCACAACCGCAATCGCAATCGCAATCGCACTCTCATCATCACCATTATCGACGTCGACGTCGGCAGCACAGCGTCGCTGCTGTTGGAGGTAGCGGCAGCTTGCCAGGCGCTCATACGCATCCCTCCTCCGGCGGTGGCCACAACACTTCCCGACATGTGTGCAGCAGTCGACGTCATCGCTCGGTCACGGATGTATCTTGTAATTCGATCAACGCCTGCCAGGATGCAGCGTGTGCTGACCGCGAGGTGCAGGAGATAATGGTTCGCAAGTCCTGTTGCAGTGCATCGCGTACGGAATTGGCTCAATACTTTGCCGAGGACTTGTACGGCTCATCGTCACGTCGCCCCAGCTCGTGTTGCACCAGCTCCGACTACTGCTATCAAACGGACTCCACCAGCTTGTATGGCTCGCGTTCCTCACTAAGCCGCAACAACTCCATCAAGTCGGCATCGGCCGCCATGCGGAAGCACCAGCGACTGCACGCGCGCCAGCCCAGCTACACATCCATATCCTTGCGTGGCCTGAATGCCAGCCGGCCAAACAGTCAGCTCGGCTCGCTGACCTCCATATTCGATCGTGCCAAGCAAATTGCCGCCGATAGCAGGCACACAGAGCAGCAGGAACAAGGGCAGGCAACAACTACGCCCTCGCACGGCTCAACATTGGAGCGACACAGTTCGAAGGGCGCGCTCAGCAATGAGCTGCCTGAGTACGCATGCTCACCATCGCCCATACGCTGGAGTTTTCTAGCCGACGGTAAGTCTCCTACGGAATTCGAGCTTGAGGGGGCTGTGGGTGGTACAATTGAGGCAGCAACGGAGGATAAGATGGATGCCTGGAATGTGCCCGAGCCAGAAATGAAGCCATGTCGCAAGCTGACCAGCAACACGGAGAGCAGCAGCAGCTGGAAGAGCGCACTGTACGATGAAGGTCCCAGCACCTCAGCAGCGGCACGCAAGCGACGCGGTAGCAGCTATCACTGCGAATTCGAGGAGTCCACTACGGTATTGTTTCATCAGGATCAGGAGGGTGAGGCGTACAACAACTGCTGCAACAACTACATACAGTGCAACACGTATCTGGATCAGGATCTGCAAATCACCAGCGAGGATATACATCAGTATCTGTCAAAAGGCAATCCAACGATTGGCGATGTGCTAAACAATTCCAAGAACTATCCATTTCAGCCCAGCAATGCGCTCGAGTTTCAGTACAAGAATAATTTTCAGCAGGGCAACAACAACACAAACAACAACACGAATACCACAAACACTGCCTCCAGCGATGCTGGCGAATGCTTCCAGCGCTATGAGCGAAGCTATCAAACTAGCTTGAGCAAAGAAACTAATCTAAATCAGAATTCCAGTGGCAGCCAGGCACCGCCAGAGCCGCTGTCCCCCAGCAACATCAATCTATCCAGCAGCAGCAACAACATCAACATTGTGTTTGGCAGCAGCAGCCAGGAGCGCAACGCCAACGAGGTGAAGTTCATTAATAATCGGGCAAGCGAAAGAGACACCGAGACTTTGGTTAGCTCGGAAGCACATCACGCAGGCTATCTACCCTACACGTATCCCAGCTACGACTATGCCAACATGTCGGGCAATTCACACTTTGATAAGCCGCTGGCCATCGATGAGCTGCCCAAGGAGTTTGCTGGCATTCATTTGGATGGTGGCGGCTCTACAACCAGCGAGCATTCATCATCGTTGCACTTTGACTCCTTCGACGCCGCCTCGGAGCACAATTTGTTGTCGCAGCCCATGTCGCCCGGCTCGGCTGCATCGGTATCGATATCGGTTAATCCTGCTGGTGACGGTTATATGCACGTGCACCACGCCCATTTTGAGCATCAGCCGCATTATCATGGCCAGTACACGCATGCGCATCACCCGCACCCGCATTCGCATCCGCATCCGCACAGCTACGCTCATGCCCATCATAGCACGAACACAACCAGCAACAGCACGAATCACTATGGCACCCACGATCTAGCCGAGGAGCAGTTCCGGCTTGGCAATGCCTTCAAGAAAGTGCGCAAGCGTGCACGCAAATACACAGACTTCCTGCGCAAGAAGTGAGCTGAGATTCTGAGCCCGACTCCTCCTGATTAGCCTTACTATTCCCATCTTTAGATTCACCATACTTTGGGCGCAAGTATGTGGTCGTCTCGAAGTCGCAGGCGCAGGCGCGGTCGCTGCCACGACGTTCGCAAAGCTTGGACGAGGATTAGCTGCGGATGATCGACTATCAAATTGCATTTTCAGCGCACACTTTTCAAAAAGCAATAATTAAATAATTTTCACACAGAAACAGACACAAAACGCGTAATTAATGAATAACTTAAATTTTTACACTGCCAAATGATAAAGATTAAAATTAGTATTTATTTGTGGTAAGCCAAATTGTAATGTGCGATGGACAGACACAAAAGGAGACACATAAACACCCACACACAGAAAATACACACACACACACACACACACACATAAATTCATTCACATGCGGCAGCCAGCTACAATATAACAAGAAGAACAACCACAACAACGACTATTTTAAAAAATACCTAAGCTAACAGTGCGTATACATGATAAGTATGAAAATTTGTATATTCAAGTTAAAATTTAAGGACAGGTTTTGAATTTGCATATTTAAATTACGTATAGAAAAAAAAACCACAACAGAAAGGTAAATGGAAATAATAATGCACAACTACCCAAGCATAGTTTTAAAATTAAACAACTTTAAATACACTTATTTATTAGAGATAAGAAATCGAAGCAGCGCTACAAGATTTAGAGTTTCAGCAAATGCAGTAACAGCAACAAAAAAAAAAGCAAAAACAACAAAATATTAACAATTAAACTACGAAAAAAGTTATAAACATATGCAAGAAAAACAAAAACAAAAAAAAATGTAGCAGACACATAAAAATGCAAAGTTATTGAGCATTCCACTAAATCAGTAAGCTAATCTTAAATATGGAATATAGGAAAGTGATTTTTTTTTTAAATTATTTACTATTTTATATGCGAATTTTTATGGTTGAAGTTAAACAAGTTTCTTCAGGGACTGCTTGCAATTTATGTATAAGCAATATGCCGTTTTGCTCAAAGAAAATACTTTATTTTGAAAATATCTTAGATTCGAAATTTTCATTTTGTTCAAATCAATTAAAGACATTTTCATTTGATGAACCCTTTTTAAGAAGAGTTTCCCTGCTTAAATTTCAATTTTGATTTAGCAAATAATTTGATTGCATGGATCCCAACAACTGTCTTCCAATTGTATTTTAGAGTAATTTTCTACTTTCAATTTCGTTCGATACATATTTTCACATATGTACATCAATTACGTACACATATAATTTCAATAAATTATTACATCAAACGTACCTTGCGTGACAAAAAAAAATATATATATATATATATAAATATAAATAAAGTATATTCTGATAAGCAAAAGACGAACAACTGTAAATATTTGCTGTTAGTTAATCATTAAAAATAATTTACAGATAAATTACAATTAAATAAATATTATTATTTGTAGTTATTAGCTGAAATCATTAAAAATAGGTAAACCGGAATAATAAATATAAATGCACTGCCAAAAAGGTTTTATAAAACAAAAACAACAACAACAAAATAGATTGAACAAATCGAAGATGATGAATATAAGAAGAAGAAGAAAAAAACAATAACTGCTGTAAATATAAGAATGAATACATATAGAAAATCATAGACATTTTTTAATGGCACATTAATTAACGAGGAGCATGCAATTTGCAGATTTTTTACATTATTTTAACGAACTAAGTAAAACAATAATGAGTTTAAATAAATTCTTAAAACCAAAAAAAAACAGCCACGCGGCAGCGATTTTGTAACAAAATCAAAAGACAAAATGTTAACATTGCATAATATTTAATATAAAAACAAAACATTAAAAAAAAAAAAAAATAAACAATAGAAGCGCCAACGACTACGAAACGATGTTAACTGGTTGTGAGTTTGATTTGATAAACAGCTGAGATACTTTCGATTGCGAAAGTATCTGAGATGCATATCACTTGAGCCGAACTAGTTTAATGTTGTGTGCATTATTCTAAATGTAAATAAATACAAAATAAAAATCAACTAAGTTAATTAAAGCGCATACACGTAAATCTACACACGCAATGAATAAACTATGCAATTTAACAAAAATTAGTTAATAAACAAACAAACAAACAAATAAACAATAAATGAAACAAATTAATGATGCATACAATTTTAATGTTCACAAAATACAAAAATTTAACACGCGTAAATAAAAATTAATTTAAAAAAACCAAAACAATTTATGATAATCACACGGAGTTGAATGCAAACCAAAACAAAACACAAAAAAAAAAAACAAAAAACTAACAGAGACAATTAGACAAAAGCGTTATAAAAAATATGACAGCCGATTGAATTATATAGCAGAATTTATTGATCCATAGACGAGTTAGTCAAATGCGCCAGAATCCGCGTAAAATGTGGTTTGTTTTTTACAATTTTTAAAATTCGTCTTCTGATTTGAAAGTGAAAACAGCAAAAGCAAAAACTAACATCAAATAAACAGTTAAAAACAATATGTTCTAGCATTTGTCATAACAATATATAGTTGTGTACATAACTAGTTAAAATCATGTATTAACAGAACAGTTATCTTAAGTATATGAATACGTATATACATATAAAGGTGAATATTTAGACACAACTACACAGCCACACACATAAACATACGCACACAAAGTATTAGTATGAATATGAGTTTGCGTTAGTTACAAGAAAAAAAAGGCAATGAAAAATAATAATTAATAATGATATACAATAAAAAACTTGAACTAGGTATGTAATTATGAATTTACATTATTTTTAGCAAAACCAAAAATTAAATGAAAAAAAAACACGATGAAAACTCTAAAACCACTTAAAAGCAAGAAGAAACTTATTGAAATTAAATTGATGAATTAAGTAAAATAATTGCTCAATTTAGCAAAGAGTATAAATAAAGAATTATACGTTAAGTAATAATTTCAAATTACACACGCCTTTTTATACCCTTATCGAGGGTATTATAATTTTTTAATTATATATAAAACGCCTAGAAGAAGACACTTCCGACCCCATTTATGATATAGCCTTGACGGTCTTCATGTTTGTTCGTCAGTCCATCTGTCCGTCCGCCTGTCTGTCTTTCCATTTATTAGTCCCTCCGTCTGGTCATCTATTCGTCTGTCCGCCAGTTCGTTTGTCGGTCCATCTGTCCATCTGACAGTCTGTCTGTTCGTCTGTCTGTTTCTTTGCGAACTTGTCTCTCAGTAAGCTATCGTCTAGAAATGCAGTACATATGTCGGAAACGGCCGGATCGAACCACCATATCATATTGTTGCCATAGGAACTATAGGCCGAAATGTAAGTCCTTTTATGGAAGCCATCTCATATATGTCCAAATCTTATCAACATCGGACTACTATATCATATAGCTGCCATAGGAACTATAGGTCGCAAAGTAGGCTCTTGTTTGCAAATCTTTTTGTTTATCAAGATATCTTGATCAATCCCAACATTTGTTCGGATAATTATGCTATTTACATAAGGGCCAAATGAAATTAATATATCAGTACTATTTTATATAGTACTATACGAAGAATCGTTCGAAAAAATAAATTTCTATATGCTCTATGCTCTGTTTTCGTCGTCTGACATATTTACAAACCCTTAAGGCAAATGTCTCGCGATTTCCAAAAAACAAACGCGAATTTGAATTGTTTAAGGTGTATTATAAAGTGTATAGCAAAAAAGGATGTTTATCATGCCCAATACGGATACGGATACGCTTTAAAGCGCTACAAAAAATGGGAGCTTTCAGAGCCAATATGAAAACCAGAAGGATCAGCTAATAACTCTTATAAGCCGTTTTTGCACATATATCGATAAGTGCCTGAATATATCGCCACTCCCATAAGAATGTTCCATGAATATTGCCTGCGGATGGCATTGCGCATGTCCGAAACACGTCAAACTATTCGCGACTGACAGTTCCGGTGAGCCTTTGGTGTATATACCTCAAGTGGGCATGCAAAGGAAAACCTGACCCCAAGATGAAAATTTAAATTAAAAATAAAATATGTTGACTGCGTTGCGACGAAAATTTCGCTTAGGAATGCAGCGTACGGTTCTGATTGCAGTGCTGCTGGCGGTTGGCCTTTTCAGCTATGCGTTCCTAAATCTATCCTTCTGCTTCAAGCTTATGTCGCACAGAAGTCTCACGCACATGGTAAGGGAAAAAAAGTCTCACCACCTTTTTTGACGCACAATTAATAAACAGACCAATACCAACAAATTTAGTGCCAAAAGTATGAACACCATGAGTTTAGTGGATCCCTTTGCGAGGAACTGTGCAGCAGCCAGTCGAACTTTGACAACTTCCAGTGCCCGTTAAATGATATGAAAACGATATTGTTTACGGCCGAAAAGAATGGCGATATGCTCGCCGTGAAGGTAGGTCAGTTTGGCATTAGTTTTTCGGTTGTCATGACTACCAACCATTCCAAACCGCTGCTGGCAATTAGCTGGCCAAGCACAACGATGACGACTTGAGCTGGACGAACAGCAAGGGCGAGGCTATTTATCCTAAGATCGAGGAGTTCCATGAAATTGTCAAGTTGCACATCATTCTGGCCTACAATGTAACATTGGACGATAATATGGTATGCCTGCAGATAATTCCTAAAGCTGCTGCTTCAAAAACTTTTCGCCTTGGATTTTAAGATACGCGCCTTGGTCAATCAGGAGATTGCGGATAATAACTCACAGCAAATGGTTAGCTTTTGGAGATTGTTCAAGGACAACAACTATATGATGGGCAAGCTGTTCGATGAGGAATCAGTGTTTCCAGCGGTCCTAGGCTCATGCGGTCCGTACTATGCCACAGAGGGATTAGAAATTGTGCAGTCTAATCCCAGCATCATTCAGTTTCTGTGAGTAAATACGGAAATAATGTACCAAAGCTGACAAACCACATTGTATTCACCTGACAGCGCCTCGAATCGACAGCAGCGTCTAAAGCATGCGCTCAACATCATGGAGTACATATTTCGCTTGGAGGAGATGAAGCCGGAGCCGTTGCGCATGTGTAAGATGCAAGTGAATCGCTTTGGACTCACGCCCGACAGACGTCTGAAGTATCAAAGCGCGGAGCATATCTATGTCGAGAGCTACCTGGACAAGCGCATATCCAACGGGGTGAAGTGCCACAACAACCAGGACTGCAACTTCCATTCCTGTCGCGGACTGTGTGATGCAGACCGTCAGGCCTGCACACATGTGCAGCAGAACAATAACTTTCAGATATTCTGTGAACATGTCCTTTTAGGCAGTGGTACATTTCAGCCGGGTCTCTTAAGTGGCATACGTTTGCCACGGTCGCTGCAGAAGCTGGTGAAGATGTGCGTACAGCCGCCTAAAGAGCATCAGGTGCCAGATCGTCGCCAGGCACCCACCCTGCAACTGGCTTTGAGGCTTTATAATGAGCTGAAGCAGCTGCTTCAGGCGGTGATAACGGCTTCCGGTGCTGACTCCGATGTGGACGTTGAAAGCCCACGGCTTCGGCAGCAAGGAGGCGTTTAGGTGTCCATGATGCACATGTAGTTGAATTGGGTACTCCTGCTGATGACTTGCTCACAAAGTGGTAGAATTTTTACATAAATTAGATTTAATAAGCAAATATAGAATTAACATAAATAAAAAGTTTTTTAACATACGATAAAACGGCTTTGAATTGTAGTTTTGGTTTTGTGTTTATTTTCGTTTATAAATTATTGTTAAATTGCAACAATTTCATTCTCTATTGTTAAGCTTGCCGATGAATATAATATTTTGTTTTCTGTAACTTATCTCGAATTTACATTGAAAATCAATTGCTCTCGTGAGCGTTAAAACTTGAATTAAAACTTTATCTTTGAAAGTGCCCAAAAAGTGTATTCCAAAAAGAGCTACATAAAAGTGTTGATTAGCTTTTATCACATTGACATTTTAAGTTTTATCTTTTTATATTTATATTTATATTTGTGGTTTGCCTTGTATTTTTGAAAAGTACAGCGTGCACATGTCTTATTGTTAATATATAGTTTAGTTTCCCTTTTGAATTTTAGCTGGATTCACTAATTTCATATTTTTTTTTTTACAATAAGTTAACGTTTTTCCGGCATAACTTGATTTTATATATTCATGTTTGTTTGTGTTTTATCTTTTTGCATAGGCAACTTTAGTTGTTGGTTTTTTGTTTAGTTTTCTAAGGATTTATCTGCAACAGAAGTTTATACAAAGGTTGTTCAATTGTTTAACTGTGGCAGATTTTAAACGAAATAATTTCGTTGGTTTTCCTTTTTTCATTTTGTTATATTTTTTAGGCCGCTTAGCATAGTTTATAGATTTTAGCGCTTCTTTAAAGCCATTTCCAATTGTTTATTACAATAATCAAGATGTTTTTGAGTAAATTATAAAAGAGTAGAAAAATCTAATAGATATCATAATTTTTGTTAGTACACGTATTTCGTTTTGCAAAAAGTGCCCTATGCGCTCAAAAATTATTATATTAAATGTTATAGATTTTATTCTTCTTTGTTAATTTAGTTTTCTTTTTTTTTTTTTAGTTTTTTTATGCATTCTCTTATTTAAAGTACATACATTTGTTTTTCAATACAATTTCTAAAAACATAAATGTAGCGTTCGACTTAAATTAAACTCGAAAAGGATGCGGACTGTAGTCAATATAATGGAGAGCGGGTGCTGGGTAAATGATTTAAATATACCGAAAATATTTATCAACTGCCTGTCTAATTGTAAATTTTCAAAATGTCAAAATGTGGGTGAATAACTGTGTTTTCAAATTGTGTATGTGTGTGTTTTGTGTGTGTGTGTTGTTTGTGTGAGGCGGTGTGTGCTTATAGATGATTATTCTTTCTGCATTTGTCTTTATGCCGTTGTGGGCGACGCGGCCGCTGAGGGTGCATTTGCCAATATGGGCGGATGCGTGGCATTCACTACACGACCTGGCGTGTGGGCATTCTCCAGCGTCTTCGAGTGTTGCAGCTGCATCAAGTAATGCTGCTGGGTGGGCTTATGCAGCGCCAGCTGTGACAATGCATCATCAATGGTAAACCATTGACGTTTTCGTCCAATGCTACGCGAATCCTCCCACTCATCTAGTTCCTGGGTCACGTTCATTACAAACACCTCGGTGCGATGCATGTGATCGTTGTTCTATAATATTTGATATTTGTTAGCTTAATCATAACATTTATTCCGATTGACAACGAACCTCAAAGACACCCAAACAACGTCCCAGGCTGCCAACAACGCCTGCCTCCTCCAGCACCTCACGCACGGCGGTGACTGAGGGTTCCTCTTCCGGCTCGACCCCGCCGCCTGGCACAATCCACAGTTCTGGACGGCGTGAAGATGTAACCAGCAGAACCTGCAATACATTAAGAGCCATTAATATGGCATATTTCCTTTGAAGAAATTGAATTTCAATCGATCCTTTAGATAGAGTAAACTATCCTATTGCATTTTGAATGCCCATCGAAACACAATGCAATTTCATGTTTTGGTAGATCGAAACTTACCTCCGCTTCGTTCTCGGCTCGCACGCAAATACAGGCAGCACGTCGCCTGAAGCCATCCTTATCATAGATGCGTGTCGAGTTGGGTTTCTCCTTGACCATCTGAAAGCATATTGATACGATAAGTAGGGCGATTGATAGTTCGGGGCAACCGAAAAAATTGGCAAAGGCTGATAGCGTTGGGGTCATAATTCTTTCTATTTTATCATTTCGTTGTTGTCGCGTTTAATTTGAATGTGCGCGCACATGAGAATCGTGATTCCGTCTTATCAGACATTTGATTGAGGGACCGCCGGCAACTGCAGCGCCAGCTTATCAACGATTTATTTATGTACGCACGTATGCATACGCTTGCATGTGTGTGCGTGTGTTTGTGTGTGCCGGGTACCGTTTGGCGTTTGTAAATTAGCCGTGTCATGAATGATGATTGAAACACTTTCGCAAACATCTGGGAGCTTACCTTTGCGTTTTTGTAAGTACGGCGGCAAAATGAACGCTGATAGCCGATTGCTTAGGCACTTAACAAAGAGACAGCCGCCTTGACGTCCCTTTCTCACTAACTCACTAACTCGCTCACTCTCTTTCTCTCCCTCTCCGCTTGTCTTCCTTTTGCTGCGTTTGCAACAAGTGTGTGTGTGTTGCTGTTGTTGTTGGTGCTTATTTTTCTTTTTTTTTTGCGCTATGACAGCTGCACTGGGAGCCGGTCGCTGGTCTCGTGCCGCTTTTGCAGGTGCTTTTTGGTGGCTGCTGCGTCACAGCAGAGAAACTGTCGTTGTATGTGTCGCGTGAGTGTATGTGTATTTTAGTCTGAGAGCCAATGTGTGCGTGCGTACGTGTGTGTGTTTGTGTGTGTTTTGTATGTTGCTGTTGCTGTTTCTGTTGTTCCTGTATTTGTTGTTGTGTAGTAACGAAAAAAGAACTGCGCGTCGGATGGTTTGAAAGAGATGTGGGGAAAGCGAGAACAGAAAACTTGTTGAAATTAAAACGAGTACAAGAATGAAGAGGAAATAAAGCGCAGACAGGGCAGAATTATTTAACTACTTTGCAGTGGGTGCATGTTGTTGTTGTTTTGTTTTTTTTTTTTTTTTTTTTTTTTTTTTGGTTTTTTGGTTAGTGTTGGTATCAAGTTGGGATTGTAATTGTGTTCGTGTTGATGTTGTTGCTGTTGTCACTTTGTCACCGCCTTTGTCCTGCTTTTAGCCGCTGTTTGGCTAGTCGCTGTCGCTGTTTTGTCTGCTTGTGAGTCTAGCCGGAAGCTTTTCGCAATTTGTTGCAATTTGAGCGAGACCGACGCTCAGCTGGGTCTTATCTGAGCACGAAACATGCGTTTTCCATTTTCTCGCTCCAAACACGCCCCGAAATGGTGATGAATAGCCGCTTTGGGCAGACAAACACACGTGTCGCGGCTTGTGCAACGATTTTATTTGCGCGGTGACGATTTCTAGCTGCAAGCCCACGTAAAAGTAACACTTTTAACAATTTCACGAATGTTGCATCGGCGAATAGCTCGGCAAAGAGGACGACGCAAAAAACAGTGTTACCGCCTCTGATAAATTGAATCTGCCACAAAATATATCTGTTGGCAGTCCCATGCTACAGTTGGCAACTCTAATTTCTGAGGTAGGCAGTATTGAATCCACTGCAGACATAAGCCACCAGATGGCGCCAGTATTGCCGCTAGGTGGAGACTGTATTCAAATTTTATTTTGAAATTCGTAACGTTTTTCAATTTCTATGCCAAAAAGTCTTTCAGTTTCCAAACATAAAACGCTTGAATTCTATTTTGTATTTTGTTTCAATTTGGTATCGGAATATTCAAAGAAAATCGAAATTTAGTTTGGCTGTGCTACTCTAAAATCTATCCTAATTTTCTTCAATTCCTTCTAACCTATTACTCGGGGTCAGGTCTAAGTAAGGGCATCGATAATTATCGATTAACGTGCGTTAGAGTTGTAGCTCGTATTTGTATTCAATTAAGATCAGCTTTAAGGTCGTCAACTGGCTGGAAGAAGTCAAGAAATGATTTACTGCCACAACGCAGGACGTTACTTGAGCGTCTGCCAAAAACACAAAAGTGCCGGCAACGGCAACGGCAAAGGGGAAGGGAAAAGGGAGCAGGAGGCAGGGGATTATGGGAGCGCCACAACGCCAAAAATTTGCTTTGCATTTGTTGAAGCTGCCGCTTGGATTGCTGCCTCTACGTTTTGGTTGTAAGCTTTTAATGCAACTACTTAGCGCAGGGATACTGAATCCGTTTGCTGTTCCACAGAAGAAGGCGGTTGGGGGGAGGGGGGGGGGGAGGGCTGTGTCCTTGGCTGGCCTTAAACATTTACTGCCAGCCTGTGCATTCCAGTCGCGAGTCGCGACACACTGGCTGCCTGGCCTGTGTCCTGGTCCTGGGTCTGATCTTGTGGCGCTTTTTGCTCCTGCTGCAAAGCAAATTGCTTATTTCTTAATGCATTGCCATTTCCTTTTGGCTTTCTTAGACATTGCTAGTTCTTATATTTGAATGTGCGTGTGTGTGTGTGGCTTCAATGAATTATGAGCTTCATTTCTTCTTTTTGGGTGCCGCTCGACGTGACCATGCAGAAGTGTTAAACTGTTTAACACGCGTTTTTCTCGCTCTGTGACTTTCTTGATTGGGTTTAAATTTAGACTACAAAATAATAACATTTTTTTTCGCTAAGGTTTGGTATCTCTTAGCTCATAAATTAATTCAGTTGTCCATCGATTGATTTCTGACTATAATAATAGTCCTTTTTTTTTGTGGTTTTTTGTGGTCTACTTCTGGCTGAATGTCCTGTGCGCATCTCCCGCCTCCGTGTATGCCACGCTTTGTTGCACATAAATTCAAAGTCATAAATTTGCAATAGGCGTCCACTTGGCTGGCAAACTTTGTCTATTTGATGCGTCCGGCGACCACATTGAAATCAAGTGCAAAAATTTACAATTTACCAGGGCCAGCAATTGTGCAGGCGATGGACAACAGGGCTGAAAAAAAACTACAATCGTCTTTTAAGGTTTATAAAAAGTGCTTCAAGCATTGAACTTTTTAACTTTATTCAAATCAACAAAATGTTGCACCTTTGATTATTAGATTTTATTTCTTAGCGTTGGGAAAGAGTTGTATATACTATTATACATAATCATATTCAGAAGTTCGTGTTTATCCTTCATCGTAATATAAAATATTTAACTCTTTGATGCAAGATGCTGATCAAGAATATATATACTTTATGGGGTCGCAGATGTTGCCTTCTGTTTGTTACATATAGTTCCACAAGGACATTATCTCGTTTTTATCCATTTTGGTTCAAGAGTTGACTTTTTCATCTTTGTTAGCTCGTACTTTAAGCCCACTGAGATTTTATTCACACGCCCCTTTTTTATGTATCTTAATATTCATCTACATCAAGCGCCCTGTTTTGATTCGCCTTGTGGTCAGCAGTTGTTTCTATTCGGCTTGTGTCCCTTCTCCTATTACGTTGCGCATACGCCGCGTTGTACGGAAAAAGTATCTGCATTTGTATGAGCTTGAGCAGGAACATTGCGGTACTTATGGCTAATTGACTGGTAGCCAAATTCAATCAACTGGGCTCACTGAAAGCCAATTCAAAGCTGCTGACTGTAGTCTTGCCGCAGGTGTTGATCCTGTCATTAATTAACTATCGCTGTCATCAGCAGCCGCAGCAGTTGTCGCGCACGTGTTCAAAATGCTCAATAGAATTTGGTCGGCTGGGTTGGCGGGCCGCATCCTTGGGCAACATATTGTTTCATTTTGGCTATGTCTTCCTGCTGCTGGCCATGACAAAGGCGTGCACCTACAAACGCAATTTGGCAACAAATTCACAAAACAGACAACACAACAAACAACCAGAAGAAGAGGAACAACAACAACAATGACCAGAATTATACAATTTATGCGATTTACGAGCTCCGGCAGCTCCTCCAGTTACCGTCCAGCTCCAACTACAGCTCCAACTCCAGCTCTAACTCCAACTGGCATCTACTGCTCGCGCCTTCGCCCTTTTTGCCTCGGCAGCCGCAAAACTATTTCTATTGCTGCGGAGCCGTTGCCGTCGCCGTTGCCGCGGCCGTCGCTATCGCCACTGAGCAAGGATATGCCGTATTTCCGTTTACATAATAAATTTGCTAACCACGTTCTGTCGTCGTCGTCGCCGTCGTCGTTAGGTCCCGGACCTGGCCCGGGCCCTGCGGCATCACCACCAGCGCCGCCAGCGCTGCCGTTGCCTGGCATCAAGTGCCTGTGGTTGGCATTGTTGTTTTTGTTTTGTTTTTTTACTCGATACCCATTAAAAATGGGTAAGGAAGGGTTACATGGTTTTGTGTAAATAGCGAATGGACATCATAAGGTATAAATTTTCTTGATCAGCTGTGTCTGTCTTTCCTTCAGTCTGTCTGTTCAATAGGCTGTATGAACGCGTCTTTCGCAGTCTTTCGTCTATGAACTTCGATAACAAGCCCCTGTTCTCGATTTAATTGTATATTTCTGATGCCGCCTTCGTTCTTTCCAATCAGTTAGAGCCATGCACTTTGGTATTTACATGCCTTTTCGTGTCATATCTAAGCGCTGTAAAGTTCATATACATCAGACCTTAAGTAGCCGAGTTTTTAAAGAACGCATTAACCATAGATTTTCATATATGGGAAAGAGCTGCGCAGCTTGAGACGTGCTACTTTTGTATTTTTGTATGCGTGTTTTTGGGCAGCAGAAAGTTCAAATCCTTTGGTTGGTTACAGGGTGCCTGCTGGTCGAGCACACCCAACAGAAGCACTCTTACATGTTAAATTTTTTTTGTCGTGTTGTTGTTTTTGTGTGTCGCCATCGCCAGCACTGTCGTCCGGGGCACCTTGCAGTGCAAGTTGACAAAAGGCTGCACAAAAAAATTGGACAGCAGCCGCAGCCAAAGTCGCAGCAGGCGTTTGAATTGAGTTTTGCGTTTGCTTTGCGTTTGGCTTTTGGCCGGTTTATAAACTTTAACTTGGACAACATATTGTCGCTGGCAAGTGTCGCCTCCACCTGCTGTTGCAGCCAAGTCGCTGTCACCCGCCTACCTCGCCTCCTGCTGCTCTCCAGATTTCCCTGCCAGTTGATTGACGGAAGTCAGCGGCGGCAACAACTTTTGCTTAATCATTGGGCGGCACTCGCGTTGTCTCTAATTAATCTATTAAATGCAAACCAGAGACAGCGCCTACAAAAAATGCGTTGTCGAGGAAGTCATCTCGCCTGGCCAGCGAGTCCAACTAGCCGCTTCCGTTTTCCGCTGGAAGTGAAATCTGTCAGCGGACGTCATAAAAATGCCAACAGGCGAGCACCACAGGGCTGGTTAGTTCCAATTCAAATTCTTGCTGCGAGGGTTCATCGATTCGAGTTTGCGGCAATATGGTTCAAACTGATGGGAAATTATAATATATTATTTGCCAATTTAATTTTGAGACGGGCTGAATCTTTCAATAAATGCCATGTGCTTTAATAAGGCGAAAGTATTCAGTTTGTTTGGGCAGCCTTTGCTGGGAATCTATAATAAGGTATCCATTTTCCCCCAAATTTTCCACAATTCCGACTGAATTTATCCGCTAACATTATATATTAACTCCAGTCAGCCAGTTAGTATTTCAGGCCATTGCTTATAAATAGAATCATAAAATTTGCAAAAAATAAAGTTCAGCATTTATCTTTTCTATATCGGTAAGAAGTTATCGCAGTTAAGTCAACATGGCAGCTGATCCACCTCCTGCCTGTAATGGCGAGCCCTTGAATTTATAGAACAGCCTGCGCAACCTTGCTCAATATGTGGGCTCTGGCTGCGCCCACTTGCAGGTGCCATAGGATCCTCGTCAGCTGTCGCCGTGGGGTAGGTTCAATAACCCGCGGCTGCTGACTTTGCGGCCCGCTGTCTGCCACCTCTGGCACCTCGGCCCGTCGCTCGCCGCTAATGGCTTGCCACACTTTACATTAGCGTCACAATTTATTGGCCGGCTGCTGAAGCCGGCTGCTCCTGCGCCGGCGCAGACGCGGTCGTGGGCTGCCTGGCGGCCCACTTGGCCGTATGCTTTACGCATGCTTGGTAGCTAAAATGGTCATAATAATAATAAAAATTTTCTGCCCGGCCCGAAAGCGGGGTGCGGCAAGGCGTTTGAGCGCATGTTTGACGCATCAAATGACGGCAACAGGTCTGCAGTATCTGGACAGCATCCCGTGCTGATCTCGTTCCAAGTGCGTAAGCATCAGCAGAAACTGCGACCGGTTTTTGGTTTATGTCAATGCATTGACAGGTGCAAGCGGCGGGCGATGGCTGCTCCATTTATGCCAGCCACAGCTCCAGACCCAGCTCCGACTGCCGCTCCAGTTGCAGCCCCGAAACTGGCTTGCATGCATGCATTTGAATTGATTTTGGGAAGCATGCGCAATGTCAATATGGCCATGAATTTATGTTTAATAAATGCAGTCAACGAGCGACTCTTTAAGCTTTCCGCATTCCTCGCCCAGTAGTGGCTGTTAACAC